TCCTGGCTAGGCTGCTGATCAACTGAACTCTGTCTCCGTGTCATTCCTTCTTCGCCGACTCCGTCCACACCTTTGGGGACCCCTGGACCTGCTGGGGTTGGACCCCAGCAATTACCCTTCTCTGAGGTTTACAATCAGGTTTCCATAGCCCTTCTCTTGACCATCCTTTGTTTTGCTTCATGTCTCTACTGTAAAATACTCTGGAAACTACTTATATGTTAATTGATATCAGGGACTTTTTAATTTTCTTAGGTGTGAAAATAAAATTAAATGTGAAAATGATCTTCTTTTTAGGAGTTGTATACTGAAATATTTAGAAGTGTCATATCTACAAATTATTTCAAAACCTTCAGTAGACACACAAACACAAAGAGAGAACTAAAGAACTATAAAATATTAATATTAACTATAAAATAATAATCTACTTGGGAATGTGGGTGTTTATTGAACTGTTCTATCAACTTTTGTCCATGTTTACATAATTTTATACTAAAATTTTTGAAAAATAGCATCTTTTCAGGCTTTGACTTACATGATATTTTATTGTTTTAGTAACAGCTATAAAATTTAATCTCATTAAGAAACATGAAATTAAAATATATTAGTAACACTTCTGCTTAATTATTTTAGTAAGCTTTCAGTTTAACTTTAGAGAAATAACTGATAAGTTAATGTTTACATTTTGAGGAAGTAAACATTCACGTAAATTATTGTGTCTGTTAAAAACTGCTGAACAGTAAATATCTCTAGCTGGTGGGAGGGGATTCTGTATAATTTTATTTTCTACTTCGAGAATTTTCTAATTATTGAATAACAGTAATGGTTAACCTTTATTAAATAATTGCTCTGCTAGGCACCATGCTAAGTTATTTATATACAATGTCTTATTTATTCCTTATTCAAATATTTAAACTATTAGAGTGGTAGGATTAAAGAAAAAGAGACAAACTAGGCAAAATAAAAACAGTTTATACGTAACCAGTATAAAAAATGGAATAAAGTCTAGTATTCAGGGATGCATAATAGGATTTTCAAGTATAACTGAGAACCTAGCTGAGGGTGGAGCTGTAGGTTAGATCATGAAGTATAGGGACTCTAGTGTGTACAGTAGTGTTGTTTCTTTCTTTCTGTATCATAGCCCATATATGGAGGAGCAGAGAAGGTAGATGGTCCAAAAGTGGGGTTGGCAGGGCATGCAATAAAAGGATAAGGAAACATGATTTTCATCATATTAACAAAAGGGGTGATTAAAGTAATGTACTGCATTATCCAGGTAAGAAATTAATTCTTGGTTGGGAGGTGGTGGGTCAGGGGCTGAGGCTTTGAGTACATAGGAGTACATGTACAACAAAGCAATGATTTCTCTGTAGGCAAGGACATTAACTGAAGTCAGAATCTACTTATCAAGACCTTATATAATGTACAAACTATGGACTAAAGAGTAGCAGAGTTTTGAAGCGATATCATATTCACAGGTTTTAGATCTGTCTACTAGGTAAAGGGACCTTTGTGTAGGACAGAGTTCGAAAACCTGGAAGATTAAGGCTTCTGAAGATGTTTGAGATGGAGGCTAGTGAGAGAAAGATGTGATGAGCTCCTCTCTTAGAAGTATAGAAATGCATCTGGCTTCCAGGTGCCATCTAAGCTGGGAAATCAGGATGAACAAAGGACCTAATACGTGTATGCGGAAAGAAATCCTCAGTATAGATAGTATGCTTATTACTGTCTTTTTACTGTATTTGCTCTTAAAGATTAGCTATAACATTTTCAATAAAAATATGATATATTAAGAAAACAGCAAAGAAAAAATTTTCACAATGTTAGTTTTAGGAGAGGAATTCAGAGAAACAGAAAAGGGCATTTTTTCAGAAGGAAAGAAGACAAGTTCTGTCCCCTTGTCTTATGAAAAATATGGAAATTCAAGTCTGAGAAATTGAGGTATGACATTGGGGGATTAATAGTTAATAGACCCGTATAGTTTTCCCTACCCATGTTCACCAAACATGCTGTTGGTACAACTGCCACTAATTATGGTTTTTGTAAAAATTATATATATATATTCCCTCTGGCTCTCTTTTCCTAATTGAATATCATATTAAGTGTATTTGATTGATGATAGTATACATTAAAATGCTTTGCCTAGCACTGGGGTCAGGTACTATAAGAAATATCAAAGAGGCACAAAGTATGATGCCTTCTAAAAAGAAACTAACAAATTAGATGTAGAAGACTTACACTTAGGAACCAAATAATAAAGAGATGATTGCCCTGGCTTAGTTTATTGGGAATGGCCCTATACAACAAATGTTGTGGGTATGATTACCTGTCAGGGCACATATCTAGATTACAGGTTTGATCCCCCAGTAGGTGCGTGCACGAGAGGCAACTGATTGAGTTTTCTCTCTCACTTTGATGTTTCTCTCTCTTTCTCATAATCAATTTTTAAAACTACCATATCCTCAGGTGAGGCTTTAAAAAAAGAGAGGTGGTGTGAACAGATATTTGAGTTTACTTACAAACCAATAAATAATGAATGAGACAATCATTGTAGTTGATGAAAGTTTAATAAAGTATTCAAGTGCATTTTGAATGAAGTACAAGATTGATTGGTAGATGTTGGGACTATTCCTTGGTTTTGGAAACAGTAATGTGGTGAAAACAGGTATGGATTATATTCGTGTATGTTTGGGAGTGGAATTCAGGAAGAGGGAGAATATTTATAAATTGAACAGCCACAAACTGCATACAGTAATGATTCAGTCAAGTTTTAAAATATTTGCTAAATACCTGAATATAAGCTATGTCTTTGGATGTTAAGAGTAGGAGAATTATTTCAAGTAGAAGATATTTAACAGTATAGTTAAAACTATGGTTATATAATCAAAGCTAAATATAACTATTACAATTTTTAATTTGTGTACAGGAATATTAAAAATTCCAGATGTTCTAAAAGAAACAGATAAATGTCTAGTGTTTTCCAAACTAAAAAATTGAAAGATTGTAAAAGTGAGCCATATTGGCCATTTCGTTGGTGATTTTTAATAATTATTAAACTTTGCTTATGTCTACTTTATTTTGTGATGTTATCTGAGTGTATGGATCTGTCCACTTCCCTCATAAGGCTTCTTTATATGGACTGGGAAGTAGGAACTATTACAGATTCTCCCCCCAAAAAACTTCTACACCAGCGGCTTCAGGTAGTGAAGATGACATAATATGTAAACTAATTTTCACACACTAAGGAGTCTTTTCCAGATTCTATTCAGGCTGGAAATTGCTCCTTAACTGCCAACAGGTAAGATCACCAAGTACCCTGACCACTTCAGAGGAGCACAGGCAAAGTCAGAGTGGAAAGCCAGAAGGGGTTGGAGTGGGGTGGGGTGGGGGAGAAGCCACTCCTAGGTGATACTAAACCAGCGTTGTTCAGAGAATAAGCTATGAATGAAAGTAAATATACAAACTTGTAGTAGTTTTCTTTAAAAATTTGCGCAATAGAATTCAGAGGATCTGAGAATTTTTTGTGACTAGCATGAACAGGGAAGCACCCATTCCCATATAGTTTGCATAGGATGGAAATGTAAAAGGATGCGAAACCAGAACAAAAACAAAGGCCGAGTTAGGAAAGACATGTCCTTTCATCATACCTGCCTAACCATCCCCAAGGAGGCAAAATTGAAAGACAGCACAAAACCATATCTTATGACTTTTTATACTTTATTTTATAAATATCTCTGTTTATGTCAATTGCTTAATAAAATGTATGTCCTTCATACTGTAGTAAAGCCTCAGGTATTATTAACTGAATTTCATATTACTACTTAGGTATTGAAGGGCTCTTCTCATATTATTGACTAATGGGTTTTCCTATCCAGCAACTCCAGTCAAAAGCTTGTTGCTTTTACCTGAGAAAATACAAAGCATTTCTTATAGAATGTACCTGGGGAAAGTTTATAGCTGTTGGGTTCATCTGTTTATTCAACAAGTATTTATTCAGCCAAGTTATTGAAATATGCCTGCCACCCTGTGCTAGGAAATGGAGCATGCACTCAAACACGGATCTTCCCTGTATTAGTTATCTATTGATGTGGAACACATTACCCCAAACTTAGCAATTTGAAACAAACATTTATTATCTCATATAGTTTCTGCTGGTAAAGAATTCAAAAGTAGCTTATCTGAGTCATTCTGATTCAGGGCCTCTCATGAGGCTACAATTCAAGTTGTTGGCCAGGGCTTCAGTCACCTGAAGGGATGGAGAATCAGCTTTCAGCACACTCATCTGGCTGATGGAAGGTGGCTTCAGTTCTTTGACACTCAGGCCTCTCTGATAAGACTGCTCAGTATAGGGCAGCAGGCTCCCCCCAGTGTAACCTGTGAGAGAAAGAGAGGGAAGCGGGGGCACACCCAAGTCAGAAGCCATTTTCTCAAAATCTAATGTTGGGAATGACATGACATGCCATCATTTCTGTATTTTCTTGGCCACAGAGTCCAGTCCTGATGCAGTGTGGAAGGTGACTACACAGGTTGTGACTACCAGGAGGCAGGGGATTTTGGGAGCCATCTTGCAGGCTCTTTTTTAGCACCCTGTGTTATGTCACTTACATTGTAGATGTACTAGTAGATACAGACCATAGAATAGCAAACAGATAAAATTACAGAGGAGGCAGTAATGATTTAAGCTGAGACATGAAGAATGAGAAGGAACTACTTACTCATACCATGTATCCAGACCCCACCTTTATATTTCACATTACTTTCATGAGAATAATGTGAAGTAGAAATGTAATTAAGGGTGTAGGCATAGCTCTTCTAAAAATGGAACTATTCCTGGGTAAACTCCAGCTACTTAAATGCATGTGATTGTCAAGACTGGCTGAATTCACCTAAGTCCCAAGGCCAAAAAGAAATAGCAAGCTTTTGAAACCAGTTGAACCATATATACAAGGCAATTGGACTAGAGATTTCCCTGCTTTATGTAATTATGTCTTTGTGTCCCTAAGGTCCAGGCCTGGGTTCATGGAATGAGCTCACAGAAGGAAAAATCCAGAGAAGACAATTGTCAAGCCTCGTGATGATTCTCCCACATTCACAAGTGAAGGTATGAACAGATTAAACATCATTTCTTATACATCCCAACCAGGGATTCATCTATAATGTGTTCTTCCATAAGACAAATGCTGCTTCTCTTTGCTTAAAATTTTGTAATTTAATCACAAATTTTGTTGGCTCTGCTTCAGGCCTCATAACAAACAAAAACATTCTCACTTAGTTGGGTTAGTTGTGACAACAGTGTTTGCCAGATCTGCCGACTGCTCTTCAAAAAGAAGCAAACACTTTCTGAAGCGCTCCAAAAACATCAGTCAGTCTGTCATTGGCATATTGTTTCCCATTTGTAGGAAATGGAAATTGAAAAGGCCGGTCATGTTTGGAAATGGCCCACCTCCTACCCAGTTTTCATGACAGATCTGAAGGACTGGCATCAATCATTTTAGTATTACTTGCTCTGCCCATAGACAGGAGCACTCTTTATCCTGATGAGTAAATAATTATAGAATTAACTGGACAATGTAAATTCAATGACCAATGGAATTTGAAAACCTTTGGAGTTGTAGCCAAATTAACAACATTCTGTAATTGTTGGAGGGAGAAAGTGGAAGCCTGCATCTACAGCTCACTACAATCACTGACCCTCTCAGGGTAAGAGGAGCAAGTCCTTCTACCATTCTCAATGCCTCTTGCTATTGCATAATTACTTCATCTTATTCTCACACACAGATGATGGCTTCAGCTAACTCTGACCTTTCAAACTAAACAGAAACCCAGGCATTAGCAATGTTCACATAAAACATGTGCCCAGGTCCTTATTATAACAGGTGTGGGCCAAAGTGGACAGTCCAGAGTTCAATTAAATGCACCCATTAGCTGCTTTTATAGCATATAAGTAGAGCTTCAGAAGACAAGATTGTGCCCTAACCGGTTTGGCTCGGTGGGTAGAGCGTCGGCCTACGTATTGAAAGGTCCCAGGTTTGATTCTGGCCAAGGGCATGTGTACCTTGGTTGCGGGCACATCCCCAGTAGGAGGTGTGCAGGAGGCAGGTGATTGATGTTCCTCTCTCATTGATGTTTCTAGCTCTCTATCCCTCTCCCTTCCACTCTGTGAAAAATCAATAAAATATATTTTTTTACAAAAGAAGACAAGATTGCTCTTAATTGCAGATGGCCACCAATGACTAAGTCCCTCAGCATGTTGAGCACCAGAAGATGACATTGGAAGCACCCATGATACACTTAGCTTACTGAATTCTTTAATTAATTAGAGTGTAGTCTCCTCATAGTGCTGCCTAATCAGGTTCATCCTCATTGTTTAGCTATCCTGAGGAATTTGTATTAGGTGGCTGCCATATGTTTATACAGCTTAGGTATAGATTTAACCATCAAAATAAAGTACCCAGATATTTAATATTTAAACACAGTGCCTTCTATCAGAAAGGCTTGCTTTCCTCTTAGGGCCATACTCAACATATTTGAAATTTCTCTCTAATGAAAAGTTGTATACTTCCTCACTCCACAAAGTCAAAGCTGGGTTGTTCCTATGTCATCAAGTCACTGAAGCAGCTGAGTTATTATATTGGTGAAATTAATTATTGAAATGAAGATGTGCTTTGTTCTGCTTTAAAGCAAAGATAAAAGCCTAAATAATTAAAAATGGTTTCCTATCACAGCTAATGTGCACTATGGATTCTAACATAATTAGTTGAGTTTGGAAAATTATTTATACATGTATTATCAATGCCTTCTTTAATACATTTACACATTTATTTATTTATTCAAAAGTATTAATTGAGCGTCTTCTGGGTGCCAACACTTGTGAAAGAAAATGGAAATACAAAAATAAACAAAACACAGGTTCTGTCACTTGAAAGTAAACTTAATAGATCTATGAATTTCTCTGGTTCTGGGAAGTCAGCAGGGTGTTAAGAGCTGCCTTCTTTCCAAAAACCTAATGTTTTTCTGAAAAGCATGTTTTACCAATGCATTCTCTATTTTGCCCTGCCCACAGCCCCAATTTTTCTTTATAAAATTTAATGTTACTTAATTGAAATGTTTTATCTGGTATTTAGGGTGCTATAATGGACATAAATTGATTTATTTAAACCAGAGGTACTTTAAATACTTCTGTTTGTTTTTGTGTTTAGTAGTTCTATTTTATTTTTGTCAAATTAGTAGGAATAATCTTCTTTAAAAATGAATTATAATAATATTCCTCTACAATTATATTTGAGAAGAGAGAAAGAAAATTGATGTTACATAGTACAAGGCTATACACTTAATAAATCTCAGTTGATTGGGCAATATCTTCCATTTAATATAAATTGACTCTTGGTTTGGAACTTTCCTTAGTGACAGTATTTTTCAGTAGCACCTTCATGTACTGAGAAACAAAGCATTAGTGATTTTAAATGAGAGGTTAAATAACATCTCACTGTTTCAAGATGGCATTTCCAGCAAAGAGTGGTTGCTCAGAAGTGAACAATATAGGAAAACAGCAGCTCAAAAGGTGAAATGTAAGGAAATCTCCCCATGATGTAGAGCTGATATTTGCATGTCCTATCAGGCTCATTCTGATAGCCTTTTTGTTGTCTAAGCTTGAGGGCTCACCCCTTCACAGCACTGGGATTCTGTACTGCTTCTCTTTATCTTCTTATCACTGTCACTCTCTCGGGTGGCTCAGCTGGCAAAGAGCTCAGGTATTTTGTGAAAAGGTTAACACGGAATACATCTAAAGGAATAATTCCAATTCTTTCACAGCCAGATTTGAAATCCATAGGCAAAGCCAAGTCTCTCTGGACTCATAAAGTTATCAAAATATTTGTTCTCCTTCTCTGTTCCCCTTAATAATTTTTACTGATTTTTCTTTCTTCTTTCTCTTCCTCACTTTATCAAATTTTCCCAAATGACCTTAAGTTTTAAAATCTTTGTAAAAAACACCAGTATTTGAATAGAGAATTACATCTTCAAGGCATGTTGGTTTACCATAGCTCATTTAGTATTAAGACTAATAATATTGTCAATTGTTGCCCTAACTGGTTTGGCTCAGTGGATAGAGCATCGGCCTGCGAACTCAAGGGTCCCAGATTTGATTCCGGCCAAGGGCATGTACCTTGGTTGCAGACACATACCCAGTGGGGAGTGTGCAGGAGGCAGCTGATGGATGTTTCTAACTCTCTATCCCTCTCCCTTCCTCTCTGTAAAAAAATCAATAAAATATATTTTTAAAAAAATATTGTCAATTGTTCATTTATTCATTCGTCAGTCAGGTTCCAGAGCTAAGTTTGCAGCAGTAGGAGAGTTTAAAGTATTTCAGTAACTCCCACAGTAGCAATGGGTGTCTTTAGTGATCAGGTCTCTGTTTTCGAATACCAGTTTCATCTAAAATGATCCAGGGTTTCCTGGAGAAATAACTGATTCTAGGTAAAATCTCAAGAGAAGCTCTAAACACCTTGTGTCAGAAAGCAAAGGGGTATCCAAAGACTTTTGAGTTGTGTCAAGAGAACGCAGGAGCTGACCTAAAGGGGCTCACATTAGTTACATAGGGTACCTTGAGAATTAAAAGAAAACCACACACATTGACAATAATAGATTATAACACATTTTTGCATCATCAACATCATCACCATCATTATCATCATCAAATATCCAAGGCCATAATAATATTTGAAAGAAAAAAAGAGGAGTCAATGTTCTCCTTTAAACAAGAATGCCAAATAGTAATGGCAGAAAACATGATATAAATAGGAAACTACCATTTTTAACTCCAAAAATAATGAATTCATGAAAGGATCACCAATAGAGGTTATAATCATTGTGCACAATATTATGGAGAAAACAGATACTGAAACAATATAAAATATCACTCTCCAAATTATTTACTAATTTTAGGCAAACTGTACTGTGATAGTAAAGTGTTGGCAGTCCCCGGGAACCATGTAATCAAACTGAGTGGTAATGTGATATACTAAAGCATATGTAATATATCAAATGGTGGATTCTTGCCCACATTTTTTAACCTAAATATAATAATGACAAAACAATTACACATAAGCAAAATATGGGATACTCTACAAGATATCCCATGGTCTCTTCATAAAACTCACTGTCTTAAAAAAAGTGTTGTTGGAAGGCTTGGGAAGAATTAAGGAACTGTTCTAGATTAAAAGAAAATGAAGAGACATTAAAACCGAATGTTTAGGGTGGGGGGATAAAATGGACACATATGTAATACCCTTTGTAATACTTTAAGCAATAAATTAAAAAAATAAAATAAAATAGAAAAAAAAACGAATGTAATATGTAAATCTTTATTGAAGCTTAGATTGAGGCATGAAACTTATTGTGGTAGGCGGAATAATGATCCCTCAAAGATGTCTATGCCCTAATGCCCAGAACCTATGAATATGTTATGTTACAAGGAAACAGGAAATAAGATTATTAATCAGCTTGCCTTAAAATAAAAAGATTATACTAGATTATTCAAGTGGGTGTGATATATTCTTTATATATGGAAGAAAGAGGCAGAGAGAGGAGTGTCAGAGTGATGTGATATAAGAAAGATTGACCTGCCATTTCTGGTTTTGAATGGAGGGGGCTATGAGCCAAAAGATGTGTGTAGCATCAAAGAATTGGAAAAGCTAAGAAAACAGATTTCCCTGTAGAGCATGGCCCAGTGGATACCCCTATTTTAGCCTTGATTTTATACCCATTTAGCTTTTGAAATTGTGAGGGACTGTAGACTTCTTTACACCCTTTGTATCCTTTTTTGAATGGGAATATCTATAACTGCTATCCTATGCCTGATCCAACATGCCTTTCATTTTGAGAAAAGATAACTCATGTTTGGAATTTCACAGGTCTACAGATCAAACTGAATTTTGCCCCAGGTGGTATGATAGCCAGAGCCTCTTCCATATCTGATTTAGATAATGAGATTTGGGGCTTTCAAGTTGATAACATTTGGGGCTTTAAATTGATGCTTAATGCCTTAATACTTTCAGGGATATTGGGATCTGGTCAATGTATTTTGCAGGTGGTACAGATGTG